GGCGGGGGCGCCGTGGGCCCGCCGGTCCGCGCCGGGGCGCCGGTGGTGCATGGTGGGCAGCAGCTGCCTGCTGCAGAAGTTGTGGGGGCTACAGCACAGACCCCTGCTGGCGCATCGCAGGCTGATCCTGATGGCAGCACAGGCTTACAGCAGCACCACCGGCAGGCTCAGCAGCAGCAGCAGCAGCAGCAGCAGCAGAAGCAGGTTCAGGAGCACAAGCAGCAGGAGCAGCAGCAGCCACAGCAGCAGCAGCCACAGGAGCAGCAGGAGCAGCAGGAGCAGCCGCAGGAGCGGCAGCAGGAGCAGCAGCAGGAGCAGCAGCAGGAGCAGCAGCAGCTGCCTCAGGCCAAAAAGGCGTGCGCCATGTGTGGCAAGTCACAGGGGCGGCTCAAGCGCTGCGCGCGCTGCCTGGGCGAACGCTATTGCTCGGCTGAGTGCCAGGCGGCGGCGTGGCCCGCGCACAAAGCGGCGTGCAGGGCAGCGGTGCAGCAGGGTGTCGCAGCTGAAACTGGCTAGCTAGCTGGGGGCGGACACGCGGCGACCATCCTCACTGTTGATCCCAACAATCATAGCTACAACAGACTGCACCTTGAATCGCATGCTGTCTTGTTGGACTGATGTTTGGAATGTGGGAGCTGCCATTGTGAAGTCGCAGGCTGTGATCCTACCATGCTGGTGTCTTGTGCCCTTGGCATGTGATGTGAGCAATCAAGGATATATGCTGCTTGCACTCGTCAAAGAATGTGCCGAGTGTCTCATGTTCTGGAGTTGGCATGCCAAACGTCGTACTGTGCCCACATTTGTGCAGGCGCGACCTCCCGCGCACCACAGCCTCTATATCCTGCTGACACAAACCAGCACGGCGACATTTCTTGGGATCGAGCAGGTTCTCTGCTGCGCCTTGATTGAAAACCGGTGGCCGCACTCGTCCACCTGGCCGGCTGTCCGTATCTCGGTGAGGCCGCGAGCCAAAACCCTACTCTAGGTCGGGCGACGCGCCGCCAGCTGTTGCCGCCTGGCCCATGTATCTGCTTGTCCCGCCGTTGTAATCAGCTATATCCAGGTGCGCGCCGCCAGCAGAGGCGCCACTGCCGCCGACCAATTCATCTTCACCACAAGCGTCACTTTGAAGCTGTTTCCAAGCAGCATGCATGGCTCCTAAAGCGCACGATGCAGGGACCATCCAGCTCTCAAAACCAAGTTTCCAAGCAATCATGAGAAGGACATACAATGGCTTTGGCGCCTGTCGCGCCTGCCGGTCACCAGTGATGCCATGCGCTCAGTACCCTGACAATCCCGCCTCCGATGCCCCCAAAAAGCAGAGCACGTCGAGGTTGCTGCCGCGCTGCGCGCGCCTCAAGGCGCATCCAGTAGCCGCAGTGCAACCTTCAACCCGCCGACGCGCCGCCAGCAGCCGCGATGGGCGCCTGGTTGGCTAAGGAGCGTTGTCTTTGCGGTTCTCTCCCGTCAGGGGTGCTCGAACACCCGCTGGTAGCTGCCCCTCTCGCGCGCAAACGCGGCCGCCTCGGGGTCGAACGAGGCGCGCGGGGAGCGGGTGCCCAGGATGGGCGGGCCGGTGCCGACCTTGATGGCGCCGTAGTAAGCGAGGACGTCCTGGTGATGTCACAGTGGCGTCATCAATGGGAGGGGCGAGGCCTTTCGACAACGTGTTTTGGATTTGGCGGTAAGCATGGCAGGCAGGCGGTCGCGTGCGGCAATGGTGGGCTCGTGAGCCGCCAAGGCTGCAACTTACCAATGCGCTGAACGCTGATCGCACCCGGGCCACAAACGTGTCCAGGGCCATCCACCTGGCTGCAGGCGGCATATCTGTTACCAGCGCGCGCTCTACCCCCGGCCCGCCGTGCTGCCGCGGGCCTCTCCTCCTGGACGGCTGGTTGCGCGCCCTTTTGGCATCAACACCAGGGCCAACCAATTGTACCCACCTCCAGAGTTTTTTCGTGCGAGCGCGCCTGCTCCCAGCCCTCACCTCAGGGTAAATGCCGGCCTCCTCTGTGGGGCCGTACTTCCCCTTTGCACGCGCGTAGCTGAGCGCCGTCCAGCCCTGCGTGAACGAGGAGGGGGCAGAGTCAGGTGGGTGGTGGGTGGTGGGTGGTGAAGCGTGGCTGGTGGGCAGTAACGATTGTGAAGCGGTGATGGGCTCTTGTTCACCTGATTGGTTGGATGTATGATGGATGGATGTTGCATTTGAGTGGGCAAGAAGCATGGCGATGGGGCGTCCAGTACACTGGTCACCGTTGCTGCTTGCACTCGCACTGCCGGTTGGTCACTGCAGACGTTTACAAACCCTGAACGGACAGCCCGGTTATGCAAGGGACACGCAGCAGTGTGCCAGCCGCCGAAAAAGTCCGTGATGAATGGCATTCGCATTACTGAGCATTGGATACCTCACTGCCTGGCGGCATCCGGTGCGGACCGTCAACGCGGCGACGCCCCGTACAGTTTCGCCCCGTGGCGCGAAATCCACCCGCTGCTAGTCTCCATCCCCTTCGTCGCTGGCCTTAGAAGTGCCCGCCCAGCCGGGTTATCGCCCTCGCATGGCCCCCCTGACAAAACCGCCCAACCACACATACCCTGCAACCAGAAGCGAACACCCTGACAACCGGGCCGCATGCCAGGGGCGCGCTGCAGCCAAGACACAACGCCGTTCCGACTCCCACCTTTGGGCTGGCGGCGTCCAGGTCGACCCCAAACCTGATCAGCAGCTGGATCATGGCCGGGCCCCCGTCTATGGCCCAGAACAGCGTCAGGTCGCCTGCCCCGTTGACGTAGTTTGGGTCCGCGCCGGCGCGCAGCAGCGCCTTGGCGCACTCCAGCCTTCGGGGGTCGCGGCCGTGGAGGCGCGCGGCACGATCAGGGGAGGCATCCCAACGGGCCTGCGGAGGCCCGCCACGGGCTGGGGGACTGCGGCGGGCGCCCCTGGCGCGTGGGCTGGGCG